TTTCCGCAAGGAAGAGCAGGGATGCTGTCGCATTGCTCTTTGCAGCTAGTGGTGCGGCACATCGTCGGATTGCTTCGGAGGGACGTGTTCCCTCTTCAGATCCGCAGTGCCTGCCTCTGCGACCGGGCTTAGTTGCATCCCTGGCCAGAAGGCTCGTCAGCACGGTTTCTGGCCTCGTTGATCGATGTTCACAAGAGATCACCACGGGTCCAGCTTTGCACCGAAAGCTAAAGCAGGGAAAGGTGGCAGCTCTTCTGCGTAAGCCGAGGATCACGGACAGCACTTTCGGCACAGTGTTCCACTGCAATGGACGTTCCCACGAGTGACTGGATTGCATCACAGGTGTGTCATGTCAGTGCAAGGTGGCACTTTTCAAAAGATCTGCCCCAAGCGTCGCAAGCCTTTCGCTTTCGGCTTTCTGTGGTTCGAAGGCGGAGCGTCGTGAAGATCGTACGCAGAAGAGCGGGAGCCTCGGTCCGTCGGTCCTGCCTCGGCCCGGCTCTGCGGGGGTTTGCCGGGGCATTGGGTTGAGGCGGGTTGGTTGCGGTTCGCAGGACTGGCGAAGGGATTCCTCAGCGGATGAGGTAAAGCCCCTGTGACACAAGGTTGAGATGGCTTTGCAAGGTTGAAAGGAGCATGGCATTAATTATCTGATTATCTCCGACCTTTTGTCAGTCGCTCTGCTTGACTGCCAAGGTGACAGTGTGCTGCACACACATCACGGGTATAGTACAGGCAATATTGCAATATTGCACTCACACCTTCCCTGCGGTCTCCCCGTTGAAATTTTACTGCTAGCTTTGCCGAGCATGCTTTATCAGGCATAGCATCCATGCACACACACTACAAAGGAGCCCGACTCCGCATCCGAAAGCCTATACGCTCTGTCAGCTCCTGCTTTGATGGCTTCAGCTTATGAAGTGTGATTTAGAGGGACCCCCCTAAGGGGAGATGGCAAATAGAGTTTGCCAGCAGAAACTGATGGTTGGATAGCAAGGCCTGCCAAGCATTGGCAAGAGCTGGCAAGCCTTAGTAGCGCCTAGCAAGCCTTAGTAGTTTGGTTTGTTCTTGAGGCTTGCAAAGCCTTGCTAAGGCCTAGTAAGAACTACATAGCACACCGAGGCACGACGTTGGTTTTGAGCGCTCGTGAGCACTAGTACCGTTTAGCAGCGCTCTGCGAAGCTTGTACTGCTGAGCGCTAGTGAGCACTAGTAGGGACTGCTGAGCGCTAGTGAGCGCTAATGAGAACTACTGAGCGCTAGTGAGTGCTAGTGAGTGCTGGTGAGGCCATGTCAATTTACGCCGGGGTAAACAAAGTTGAAAGGTTGCCTCCAAACCAACTATCCTCAGAAACCTTTGCTAGCAAACGCCATTTGCCATCCCCCCTCAGGGGCGTCCCTCTAAAATCATAAGTCAGCTTAGCCACTTAATAACAGCTATACTTATCCCTGAGTCGCAAGTCCGACACCGAGGAACACCCGTTGCTGAAGCAACGTCGGCAGCGCACCACGGAGACAGAGGACAAGTTTTTGAGACTTTGAACCTCCTCCTGGTCCTACCTCCGCTGGTTTGAGGCAGATACCAGAGAACCGCACACAACCAGCAAAAGCAAGGCAGCGTCCTGCTGCGAAGTATACATGTGAACTTCGGCGAAGCTGATCCGGCATTTCGGGGCCAGGATCCCTAACACCAGAACGGACTGTGCTGCAGAGCACTGGAGAGGTCTGCCCAGACGAACAAGCACTTTCTAATTTGGGCTGTTAAGGCTGACCTGTGCAGAACGGAAGCGAAGGATTTGAACGGCAGAGAATCGCAGCACTTAGTGCTTTGCCGAAGTCCTCAACATCTTCAGGAGTTCTGGCGGTACATGTCGAAGCTCCAAGCGCTGCGCCACGAAAATGTCGTGCGCTACACGGATTTCTATGCCGCTCCTTGCTTGTACTGACAGGCCTCATGGCAGATAGAGCCCGGTCTCTTAAAGTCATTCCTGGAGCGCGGAAGGGAGTTCCCGAGCAGAGTCAGAGGGGTAGACAGAGTTTCTGCGGAGAAGCATGTTGCCAGCCTTCGAAGAGCATCCATCGACATCCAGTCGTGTAAAGCTGCTTTGCGAGCCTTCCAGCCTGCCCATCCCCTCGAGCATTAGCTGAGACTATGGCCAGTTGAGGCTTGAGGAAAAGTCGTTGTGTTCTCGGAGTGGTGGTTTCCCTCCAATCACCTCAGCTTGACGCATTGACTTCTGTTTCGACTTTCTCACTTCTCACATTACAGTCCGGTCGATTTGACGGAATTCTTTCTTTAAGTGCGGTAGTTCGCCGGCAGCAGGGCGATACTGGCGAACTGTGTGGCCGGGAGGGGTGAAAACGATTGTCCGACGTTGACGCATCAGGCTTGCATCTTGCAGCGATTTGTACGACACTCTCAAGAGCATCAAGATTTTCTCTCCAGACTCCAGGTTGGCAGCCTGTAGTAGGTCTAGGTCGGGCGGGCCGTGAAGGTGACCCTGAAATGTCCGTCCCAGGACAGCAGCTCCTTCTACTTTGTGATGGAATGCTGTGCGGGCCGAACTCTGCTGGAGCACCTGCTGGTGACTCTGCTTGCAAGCTGACAGACCCTCAGCACGCTCCGGGGTTATATTGTAAGCTTGGCGTCTGACTTCAAAGGTCTTCACCGCACCTTTGCCCCGGATTCCCTCGAATCGAAAGCGTAAGCCAGGTTGTCCCTTCGTGGCAAGAGTCCCGCGTGCGACAGCTCATGAGACAGCTCCTGCAGGCTTCGAAATTTCTGCAATGCCAGGCTTTTCTTGCTTCGCGCAATGGGTCTGAGAGTTCAGCTCGCCAGAGACTGCAAGAATGAGGAAGTTCTTCCGCTGTGGTAGACCAGCTTCGGCTCGCGGTTTAGTTCGATGCTGCCAAGCTGGAGCGGCTGATTGGATTCAGAAGAGCTGTGGAGGAGCCGGTGTATCGTTACAGTCACGAAATGTTATGCTCCTGGCGAGGAGACGTGAGTGATACCACCACCAGCTCTCTCAAACCCATACGGTCGTAGCTCTGGAAAGATAAACTGTTGAAACTGGCTCATGAGCTTTCTCCTGATAACGGTTCTCTGTGATCTTGGCATACCGCTCCTTGGACACTCTGTTGAAAGTGTCCGCATGCAAATTGAGTCCTCACCACGGGTTCTTGGCACGTCTGAGAAAGGTTTAGGAACTAGAGTGAGCGGCGGTCAAGCTTCAAGATGCTAAAGCATGCGTTCTTGTCGTGAAGAGTCTCTACTCAATCCTAGACTCAAGGAGTGGAGAAGCATACCGTTTTCAGCCGGGCCCATCCTCGCCTCGGGTCTACACCGGCACCGCTGTAGGGTGTCCGGCAGTTGCATGAACCCCCAGAGAAGATCAGAGAAGGAGATGCACGTGTGCTCAGAACTGGCTGCATTCCGAAGTACGTTTTCTGCCCCCCAGAAAGTGAACTTCATTGGAAGCTAAATGGCTGTTGAGGCACGAAAGGCACGATGTCAGGTTGTCCTCAAGATCTTCAGAGAAAGGCACTGCAGCCCGGCTCTCTGAATGCTTGCAGGCGCTGCACTACATCCATCAAATGGATGTGATTCACCGCGCCTTGGCGAAAGCTTGGCTGGAGTGAACGATGGCAACGATGGGTTGAGGATACATTCGGAACACTTCTTCTGCAGATGTTAGTTTGGGGGCTGTTTTCGCAAGCCATTACCTCCAACACATTTCTCGAAACGTGCTCGGGCATCTTCCTAGCCGAACCGAGGCGATGTGAAGCTCGAGAACCTGATGGTGCTCGACCGCTCCTTGGAAGGTGGCCGGGGCAGGGTTCCGCAGCTCATGGGGCAGAGTCTTTTATCTCGCTGTTTTGATCTAGGACCCGTCTATCTCAGCCGGAACGAGCCAACTCTGGGTCTGCCTTGTAACCTCAATAGCCGCAATTCCCAGCGACGTTCTGTACCGGTCCCGTCATTCTGCGACCCATGCCACTGAGCTAGGTTTCCAAGGCCTGGCGCTTTTGTCGCCTGCAGGCCCACTGATGAAGCTCCTGGACTTTGGACTCGGCTGCCGGGGGACAGGTGCCGGCGCCATGGGGCACCTTGGCAGCAGCAGCAGAATAAGACTCGGACATGCTGAGCTTCGTCGCGAAGAGAGTGGCATCGGACAGTTTTTGTTAGACTCTGCCCGACCTTGCCCGAAGGCGTTGTAATGGACTAGTTCAGGATGGATGAGCCTGCCCAAAACACCTCAATATGTCTCAATACTTGTTGCACATGGTCTGTTGATTTTTGGAGTGTTCTGGGCTCCGACATCAGTTTGGGTCCCGTGTGAGTCTATCAAAGGCCTACCGGCCGATCCTCAGCCTGAAAGTTACGGGGCACCGCCTCTTAAAGATTCTTGGTGGAGTGACCTAAGGTGGTTCGTGTGTCCGTGTCCGGGGTGTCTAGGCAGGTTAAAGGCGGTCACTCTCAGCCCCCGTCTCAACTCTCTCAATAAAGGGAACAAACATAAAATAATCTCAGCCTCCGAAACGGAACCGCGATCAATGTGGGGATGCATGTGGTATTCCGAAGTCCGCTGGGTGAGCACAATACGCGCAAAGAAGCTTGTCGAAGGGTGCGTACGGTTGAAGAGAAAGGGTTCGACGTCCTGGAGTTTGCCTTGCTCCGCATTCTTACACGCCTTGTCCGTAGTTTGTGGCTACGTCTGCAGCCCAAAATGTCCACCAACAGATTGCAGAGTCTTCGGTCTGAAGCCGAGAATCTTCTGCAGCCTGATTCTACTCTTATAGCAGTGGTCCAGTGCCCCATCATAGCCACAGGAGTAAGGATGATTGCAACTCTTTCTCTAGCCTAGAGCAAAGCAACCTTAGGCCCTAGGCCCGAAAACAAAGACTTTCAAAAGAAGACAGTCTTGAAGTCTCCAGCGATCCGAGCAAATACCCCGGAGCTTTGGCCTGGACGTGAGCTCTGCTGGCTCTTCTGCTCTCGTCATGTGGCTGAAGGGCCTCCTTCCAGTTATGTTAATCTTCACGTTCCTGTTCATGGCGGCCCAGTGGTTTGGGCTTCGAGGACAGGCGTGCAACGAAGATCTGGAAATTGCTTCACGCAGGACTGCCAGTTCCGCCTTCTGCTTGAGTTGCAAGTTTGTTTCCTTGCTGCAACGTCTTGTTCTTCAATGCGACAACTCACCCTCAGGCCCAAACAATCCGAATCCCGAAGCCCCAAACCTTAAACTCGACGCCAGGTCCTCGACTCATCCAGGCCACAGCTTCAAGAACTGCCACTGTTTGTAACATTGCCCAAGCGCTTGTCATTTGTACATCTGCGCTTACCACAGCCCCAGTATTTGGACTGCACTGCCTACAGGTCATTCCCACAAGATGCCAACTGCAGGGCTGCGAAGTCCACACTTTTTGTGGGGGAAGTTCGGATATTCCAAAGTGCCCAAGGAATCCTCTTCAGCGGCAAACTCTTCAGCGGCAAAGACGGAGAATCGGAAATCTTTTGTCGGCGTGAAATGTGCTTCAACCCGGGGGGATCCCTGCCCAGACTGACATAGAGACCTTTGCCACGTAAGATGCTGCAGGCTGATTGAGCACGAGCTGGATTTTGCTCCATGCGCTGTAAAACGGCAAGGGGTAAGGGCGGGGCAGAAGAGGGTGTCAGGCCTACACCCCAAGACGGAGGAACAATCCACCAGAACAAAACCATGCCAGCGAACCCAAATCACAACTGAGAGCAGGAGGAACCATAAATGACACTACGAACCTCAGTGGCTCCAGGACCGCTCCAGATTTCGAATGGTGCAAGCCTTCCAAAGTTGTGCCGTACACAGGATCCGCAGAGCTTCCTGCTTTTCGAATCCGCCTTGGTATCGGGAGTGGGGCTTGCTCGACTCTTCTCAGTGTGTTTGAGGCGGCGATGTATGCCATGCAACAACAACGGAGGTTCTTTCTGGATGAGAATGTTACACGTCTCAAGGGCAACCGCACAACTTGGTATCGCCATTTTTTCCAGCCGATTGGCGAAGCTTTTACGCAGCCTTTTGTTGACATTGCCTACACAAAAGATGTGACTCGCCTGACGAGGAACGGCACAATCACATTCAGGAATCAGACCATGAGAAAGATTGATATGAAGCGCTCCATCTTAAGACAGGTCTGGCAGTTTCAGCCGTCGGTGCAGCAAGATGTCTGCCACCTGGTACACGGCCTGCATCTGCATCATCCATACATTGCGATGTTCATTCGACTGGGCGACAAGCTGACAGTTGAGCATCGAGTTCCGGTCCCTTTGGAAGACTACATCGACACACTTCTTGGGGTATCTCTGAATGGACTGGTGCGAACTGTTTTTGTTGCTATGGATGACTGCCGAGTTCTCCAGAAGTTGCAGGCAGCTGCCCCCATGTTCAAGTTCTTGAGTCTGTGCGATGTTGAGTTCGGGACGGGGTTCATCATGGACAAAGACAGCAAGCGAGATTTGGAGGCCCACTTCCTAAAGTTCTTTGGGGAATTGACGGTCATGGCTGAAGCCGACACACTCATCGGAGATCGTCAATCCAATGTGCATCATTGGGTTGCACTGATGCGACGGATTTCATCCAGCAATGTCAGTCTTATCGATGTCCGGCAGCATCCGTACATGACGGCAGAAGTTCCATGAGAACAGAAGTGCGGTGGTCAAAAGCGACTGTAAGGACTTTCCCGAAACATGTCTATAGGTCACGGCGTTGGGTTGACATTCTCTGCATCAGTCATCAGTTTCCCTGCGCCTTCAGGTTTGGAGCCCGGCTGAAGGGGTGGAATTTTGCTTGGCTGCGGCTTGCTGTAGCACTGTAGCAGCTGTCGAAATCTTGATCGTCAACCGAGTTTGTGCAAGAACCCGATATGGCTCCTGCGTTCGCATCTGAGGACATTGGGCTACATGGCACCAGAGGTGCCAGGGACCCAGGTCGAAGGCGGCGAATATAGCGAGGCAGGACCCAGTTGAAGCCAGAAAAGGGCATTCAGGCCTCACGGATACCAGTAGCGGAGCACTTGAGTTGAGAGCCGTAGGACGTAGCATGTTGAATTGTCTCCTTCATTTGCCTGCAAGCCAAGACTCGAAACCCAACAGCCGCCTTGACATCCCACAGTATTTCGATCACTCTGGCACTGCCTTCTGAGGTTTGGCCCCAGCTCTTACACCAACAGTGTCGACCTCTTCTCTGCCGGTGTCGTGATGCACATTTGCTTTACGGGCAGGCACCGTGGAGCGCGGTGCAGGAAGCTGCTTCGATTCTGCAAATAGTGAGGCTGTAGATCGCATTGCTGGTCCATCTTTTAATCTGCAATGGGTTTTCCTGCCTCCGGGATACTACAAGAACCTCGCGCTGTGCTCTTTGGAGTGCTGCTGCAGCATCGGATTCAGAGAAGAGTCATCTAGCAAGGGCGATCCACACACTCGCACGCAAAACGAGACTTTGACTTCAACCGCGAGGCCGGCGTTTCCACCTGTCACCTACCGCACCTGGGAGGACTTCTGGGCAAAGAGTAAGGCCTCCGTCTTCTCGGTGCTAAGATGCGCGGTTTTTTAAAATTCTGCTCTTGCTAGGCTCCTGGACACCCTTTTTTGCCCTTCATGCGTGTGGTTTGCCAGGTTCCTGGCATCCTTGTCTCCCTTCATGTTTGTAGCTTGGGTTGGGCTCCTGGCTCTGGCTTCCTCCTTACTCTCTCAGTCTCCCTTTGTATCCCTCATTTTTCTGTGGGTGGACTTTGCCGGGTTCCCGGCTTGCCTCGCAGAAAGACGTTGTGCAAGCTGACACTGAGGGAGGGGGATGCGATGGGCGGCGAGCTCGGCACAGCAGTGTTGACCACGTAGGCACTGTCCGTTTTGGTGAGGCTTGTCTCGTCCTTGTCTCGTCTCTAAATTCCTCTCCTCCTCTTGTCTTCCTTCCTGTGGCCTGGTACGGGTAGGCTCTGCATGCCTGTTATGTTTCAGACCTTCAGCTTTGCCAGGTTGCACTATTGGGCTCCCCACCTCTCCATTGCTCATAGTTTTCCGGTTCGCGTTCTTCGTCTGCCAACTTGGGTAGCTTCCAGGACCACCACAGGGCACTCTTGGCCGGCCCAGATCTGCATCAGAAACCTTTGCACAAGGTCAGAGGAGTATGTTTTCAATTCACATCAGCAGGTTGGCTTTGTGAAAATCCGAATGCTAGCCATGCGCCGGCTTCCTGCTGTGCTTGCTGTTCCAAAGATAGTGGAAGCCCAGTCAAGTCCTCGTCCACGTTTCATCCTTGGCTTCGAGCCTGAGGATGCTGGTTGACGGATAAGCTTTCAGGGTAGTAGGGCGACCCAACCTCACAAGCAGAGGCAGGCCGAAGCCTCCAAGCTGCCAGGTTTCTTCCGCTGGGCGAGAGGCACAGAGGGTGATCTTTTGGAGTCCATGCGAATCCCTAGATGCACTGAACACCGGCTCCTGGATTGACAAAACATTGTCGCAAGACACGCCACAAAGCTTCAAGAGCATGCTTCAAGCACCAGGCCCACGACGTTTCAAGTCTACAGCAAGCTAGAAGTAGCCCTCGAGGTCCAACTGCTTGACAGTAAGGAATTTAGGCCACCCTGATTAGTGACCAGCGTAGTGCCCTCCGTCGGGGTGCACCCTTCCCCGACCCGCTTCTGTAGCCCCACCTTGCCCCCACTCGGAAGGTTGGTGGAACGGTTTCAATTGTGTCGCTTCTTGCTTGAGGGGTTTTGCAGAGCGCACGTTGCAGAGAGAGAGTTTGACTCCGCCAGGTGCTCGCCTGGGCGCTCAGGCCCTCGGCCTCCAGGCGGTGCACGGCCGCGCAGGCTCTGGAACCTGAGCTGCTGAGCTGCTCTGCACAGATTCCCTCTGAAAGTTCTGGGCTCTGCCGCGGCAAGGCCTTGCGCAGTCCGTGGCTGCAAGGTGTAGACCTTACTGCACAGACACGGCGTACAATCTTGGAGCACTGAGCTCTTCCGACCCTTCCTGTCCCCTCAGGCGATGGCAAGACCTGGAAGGAGGACCGGGCGACATGATGGATGATGGCATACAAGCATATAGGATGGCATAGGCACAAGTCATAGTATGTTTTGCGTAGCCTCCGAAGTTGGCACAGTAGGGCTTGCGGCACTGTTACTGTAGCCCCAAGCCCGCCGCTGCCAGGCTGGTGGAGAACCACCCCATACTCCATACTATTGACCGTTTGAAAAAGAAAGGTTCCACGCAGTGTTGATGGCCGAGGGGGAATCGCTCAGTTTTGAGCAAACAAACGGATCCATTTGATTGCAAAGGTGATTGCGCTTGTTGCCCGCAAAGTATGCATTTGGTGTGGTTTGGAGCAGGAACCCGTCCTTTGGAGCGGAACTTCCAACGAGCTCCGCTTTCTGCAGGCTCGGCAAGATTACTTCGACGTTAGACGCAAGAGCCAACACCTTCAAGCAAGCAAAGCTCTTCTGCTTCCATGGCTTCGCAACTGCCCGATCGCAGGTCATGGGGGCCATGGACCCAGCTGAGTAACAGTGAAGCACGTCACGTCGGGACAGGGTGGTGTTTAATAACTTGAGCTATCATCGGTTCCTGCTCCAAGTTGACAGCAATGCTCGTGCTCCGACATTCGCGGCACCAGGCCGCACGGTAAAGCTGCTATTATGGGGGTCGCGGCAAATCACCTTCTGTAGTTTAAATTTCAAAGAATCACCAGAGGCTGTGTCTACAGTATGTTTGAGCTTGAGGCAATGGCCACTTCTTTGTTTCGCTTCTATCAGTGCCGGCGCACATCGTAGCCGGTACAAGCTACAAGTCCAGGGTCAGGTGCATTATGTAGAACTTAGACCAAACAACTTGCTGCGCGAAAGCTCCCATAATTGCTTGAGTGCTCATCCTTGTTTATGAGCTTGCCTTTGCTTTCTTCCTTACATGCTTGCCGGCTTGCATACATAATGGTCTCTTAGCGGCAATGCAATCCGAGAAAGCAGCAAGCGCGTGCAAGAAGGTAAGGGCACCCAAACTTAAATGAAAAGTTAAACAAGCCGCGAAGTCGAACTGTGAAGGAAGCACCCGTCACGACAAACTTGACATCTAGACTCGTGAAGACAATCGGAAGGACCAAGTCTACTACCTGCTAGCCGTCTCCTCTGAGCTTTTCAGAGAAAGTGAAGGCCGACATAGAAACATTGAGCAACGGTTTGGGAGGTGGGAGCATCGCGAGCTGTGAACTCCAGGGGAAGTGCAGGAAAAGCCCTTTCAGTGAGAAGCGAACTCCGAATTCGTGCCTCGTCGAGCTGCGACTCTGCGACTATCCATCCAGCCAAACCAGTAAACCTTGCCAAACCGTGCTGAGGTTTGGAACGGGGGCTCGACGCAGCTCAAGGTGGTGCCCAGCAAAGGTTCCCTCCAGGCTCCTGAGCCGCACAAGGGCTTGTGCTAGGGATTTGGACTCTCTGAAAGCGCGCCCAGGTAATCGACGAGGCAGAGGAGGACACAGAGGAGAAAAGGGGCTAAAGTGGCAGACAGGCAGGGAATCGAAGCAGAACTTCTAAACGAAGATCTCATCTAGAAAGGGCCCGCTCGATAGCCGCCCAGCGCTATGACTGTCGCTCCCACTGGCACGCATGCTGCCTGCACGGCCGGGCGACTTCCGGCTTCCGAGGCTTGGGCCGATAGGACTGTTCCTGTGCGCGAGGACGAGGTGAAGGACCACGACATCGAGCAGTTCTGCTGCCGGCGTGGATCTCTAGAGCCAGCCGAGCTTAGGTTTGGGGAAGCCTACAGTGGGCCCGAATCGCCCAGCAAGTTTACGAGAGAATAGCCAAGTACTCGACGAGCTGAGTCTCCAGGCTGTTGGATGCAAACAGATCACTCGAATACTCAAAGAAAGTCATTTCGTCAATGAAGGGGTGTAACGTGGCGGTGTGGCTTCAGATCAGAGATGGGTCTCCTCTAAATAAAGGGCGGCGGCCTCACGCGCTCCACCTTCCATGTCGTCTCCGGTGCATAAGGTTGGTTCGGCACATGGACATCCCTGTGCAGGGTCCCTAGGAAGTGCAATGCAGCAGGGATGGGAGTTTCCGGGAAAGGGGTGAAGATCGCACTAAGCCGCTAGCTACTGGAAAGTCGCCTCGTGAATTCCGCCTGCTGACATACGCCTCATCCTGAATGTGTAAGGGCAGGTTTAATCGCCAACAATTTACAACACGGGGTCCGCCAAGAAGGTGCATTGCCAACCCGGGCAAGCCAGACTGCCCCCTCGTGGTCGTCTCCAAAGGCTTTGAGGTCGGGCCCGTGTGACAGCGTGAACCCAGTTTGTATGGTTTCCACGGTGTCTTGGCGTGGGATGGGCAACGGTGCAAAGTGGAAAACAGACAGCAGATGTGAAACCTTCTGCTGCTCTACGCGCTCCAGGACCTGACTGGCTTCTCCGAGCAGGAGGTGCTGGGTCGAAGCCCCGATAGGCAATAGTGCTATCGACGTCTCGGCGTCGAAACCATGTTGCCGCCGTGAGCATTCCTGACAGTTCTTGCCATTTTGCACAAACAGTCAATGCATGTCAATGCCTTCTTGCATCGACGACAGTGGCATGATGAAAGCGCAGACCAACAGGGAGCGTCAAGCGTAGTTTCGCAAGACCGGATATACGTTAAGTCTCAGCCCCGACA